GAGCTGTGGCCGGGTCACTGCCATCCTTCGGTGTCACGTTGTATCGATGGACTGCTTCAGCAACGGAGCAGGACTGCCGGGCCACCATCACTTTGATGGTACGATGATGGCGCTCGACGATGCCGTTCCCGCCGGGCTCGTAGGCAGCGCGGAACCTGATGGATACGTCCCAGCGAGCCGCGAACGCTAACATGACCCGGCCACGGAACTCTGTCGCATTGTCCGTGAGTATTTCCGCCGGGGCTCCACGCTCTAGAAACACGTTCTCCAGCTCACTCACAATCTCCAGAGCTCCTGCCCGGCGAAGCCGTCGCCATATGGCGTACCTCGACGGCCCGCAGTCCACCAGCGTCAGGTATGGGTGGCCGTGCACGTGGGTGACATCCATGGCCAGGCGATCCCACGTGCGTTCTGTTCCGAGTGACCCACCGGGCCAGCGCTCCGGCGCCGGGTCAATCGAGGCACACGTCTGGCATCGTCTGACCACGTCTCGCACAGCTGGTTTTGACACCCGCCTCACCCCCAGCTCACGTCGGGCGTACCACAACGTTCTCCTCACTCCTTGGTGACCGATGTTTTCGTGGATGGTGCGGATGTCACTCGCTGAGGCACTTGTGATGGCAGCGACAGCCACCGGTTGTGCTTTGGACGAATCAGTGGTTGGCTGGTCGGCAGTCTGCAGCCAGGCGTTGGGCACCCGCGTCACCTCATCAGCACGGTTGACCGCTGACGCGACCAGCTCGATAGTGACCTCCAGTTCGTACTCGATGACGAGCTGACGGAAAACAGCCACGCGCCGTCGGATAAGCATTTCGGACTGCGCCTTGGTTCGCAGCCTTGCCTTACCCGACAGCGCGTCACTCAGCCAGCGGTGCACCGTCACCGAGTCTGTCCGGAGCGTCAGGCGACGGAAGCCCCATGCTACCGCCAGGTTGACACCGTTGAGAGCGGCATCCAGTTCTGAGATATTGATGTGCACGTCCCTCTCCGATTCGGCACGCAGCCAGGACGCGTCCTCGATGATGGCGCCCGTGTCAGGGTCAGTGAGCACGACACCGCGGGCGATGGAGCTGGCGTCGGTCCACACCACGACGCTCGTCCCTGTCACACACCACTGGCCGCGTGCCGGGTGACATGCTCGAAACCGCCGTGACACCTCATCCACCTCACGTTGTAGTTCCTCGCTGACGATCGGAGTGTCCCAGTCCGGGCTGAGGCGGTTGGCAGTCCGCTTCATCCATGCAGCGGCCGGCCGCAGCCAGCCTGCGACCGGCACATGAGATGTCAGCTGGCCGGCCCACGCGAAGACAGATCGCCGCGTTAGCACGGGTGGAGCCTGCGTTGGTGACTCCCCGTCCCTACTCCACTGGAGTGCCGGCCCGTCGCTCTCGGCGACACGAAGGCCCAGCATACGTGCACCGGTCGCGACCCGCTCCGGCGGCTTGCATGTGAGCCCGAATCGAGCGAAGTGCTCGGCAACCTCATCAGCCGAAACCACCGCTTCGTTGACCAGCAGATCATCGGCGTAAGGCAGCACTGCCTCTGCCAACCCGGGGCTCTGTGCGAGCACCTTCCTGACCACAGCCTTCATGATCAGAGGCGCGATACTGAGCCCAAAGCCGACCCTGGTCAGGCAGTACCGCCGCCCTTGCACGATGACTGTCTGGTACGGCCACAGGGCCGGGTCCACACGAAGCTGAAGAAAAGCTTTCTTCAGATCCAGGACAGCGACCCGGCGTCCGTGACGTCGCCACCTTCGCAGCTCTTCCACGCAGACGTCAGCGTCGGCTGTGTGACGTGTCAGGTGTTGATTGAGTTCCCGATAATCTAACACCGGCCGCACCTTGTCCTTCGCTGCCTGAGTAACCACCATCAACGGGATCAATCCCTGTGCGGGACCGTACATCGTCTCATCGTATTCGCGCAGCCAGCCCTCACTAATCCACAGCGCCAGCTCTGCATTGAATTTTTCACGCGCACAACTCGGCACACCGTACTGAGATATCGAGTTTCCAAGCGGGGGCGGAGCCACGCCACCGGCCCATTTCCAACGGACTGTCCACACATCATCGAACACAGCCGTGAAGTCAGTCTCGTCAATCCTTAGCTCCGGCTCCGTGTCGACCGCTCGACACACCTCCCGCTCCGGCGGGACCTCACGCTGCACCACAGCAGCCGTGTCGACCGCACGACACACCTCCCGCTCCGGCGGGGCCTCACGCTGCACCACAGTAGCCGTGTCGACCGCTCGACACACCTCCCGCTCCGGCGGGACCTCACGCTGCACCACAGCAGCCGTGTCAACCGCTCGACACACCTCCCGCTCCGGCGGGGCCTCACGCTGCACCACAGCAGCCGTGTCGACCGCTCGACACACCTCCCGCTCCGGCGGGGCCTCACGCTGCACCACAGCAGCCGTGTCGACGCTCGCAACTGGGTTGTCGCTCCCGAAGCGAACGGATCCTCCACTTACACTCACGCCCTGCAGGGCGTCAATGCCGGTCATGCCCAGCAACACGTCTACGCCCAGCAACCGGGCCGGTACGACGACCGCCCGCACACTCACTGTCGCCCCGCGCACTCCAAGGCTGACCACAGCCCGCCCACAGCACAGCACCGGGCTGTCGTTGACAGCGACCAAGCTGGCGTCACTCCGCTCCCAGCAGGACACCATGCCCTTCCACACCACTGTCTCGCTGCACCCTGTGTCGACGAGTGCTCGGCACTTGCGCCCATTTACATTGATGTCGATGATGGGGGCTCTTGGGTCACTGCGGCAGCTGGCGACGGCGGAGCCCGTGGCGCTGATGTAGCGCCGTCGCCGTGCCCGTTTGGGCAGAGCCGGGCGATGTGGCCTACCTGGTTACAGGTCCAACACCGCAGTGGTGGACGGCGACCCGTCCCTCTGGCTCCCCGCTGCTGCTGTACATATGATGGCGGCGGCTGGACGACAGCCACCGATGCAGTCGCTCTCTCCCTGGCCGCCATCGCCAACGTTGACCTAGCGACGGCGACGGCTCGCTCCAAGGAGAGAGTTTCATCTCCAGCACTGTTACGTACTGTTAGCCGCACCTCCGGCGGCAGACCTTGCAGGAAGTGCGTCGTCATCACTTCGTTGGACACTGAACCTATGAGGGATATCAGCCGCTTGACTGATCCCAGGTAGGCATCCACAGACTCGCCCGGTTGTAGACGTCGGTGATACAGCTCATACATAGCCGCGTCGGGTCCCAATGCAAATGCACGATGCAGTTTTTGGCGGACGATTGCAGCATCCCGCTGCTCGGTGGAGGAGAGGGTGGCCCACACCTCGTACGCCTGGTCCCTCAGGCGTGTGGGTATGACAGCGGCCAGTGACACACGACGCAGGGCACACAGCTGTGTCGCCTGCTCCAGCCATCTGACGACGTCACCGCTGCCGTCGAACTCCGGTATTGCCCGCAGATCGAATGCAGGCGCAGGAAACTCTGGTTCCATGGTATTGGTACCAGCTACCGGTGCACCACTGCCCTCTTCTACGTCAGACATAATCACAACACTTAGTCGAGAAGGCCGAAATAGCTTGTCGTACTGACTTAAAAGTCACCGTCCAGCACAAGAAGAAGATCTATTCTGCTCTCCTCTACACCTTCCAGCCAACTAAACTCACAATCCCCCTCCCGGCACATCCACAGCTCGCAGACACACATCTCACATCATCACCAACCAATCGCGCTGTCATACGTCATATATCTCACATCATAACCAGCCAATCATGCTCCCATACGTCATTCCCGGCCCAGCTACTTGCAGGGTGTAACTCGGCCCTGCCGGCATCAGATGCCGGCGGCTATGACCAACGCTGGGTCACCGGTTCACAGCTCGACGCTGAAGCTGACTCACACTTATACGGCTCACATTCATCCTTGCGTCACGCTACACAAAATAAAGTTAGGTAAATGAGAAAATATGCAAGCGTCGCTGAAACAGTGGATAGACGCCTAATAATCGCTTGTCTTCTTATGCCTGGGTCTGAGTGTGTTGACTGACGTAAGCCACGCTTGGCAGGGAGTTTTTAGCACACATCTTAATGCCTATTTTCTGCACATGCTAGAAATTTCTGACTCCGATCGCTAAAGGTCAGGTCACCAAGTCACGTCAAATGACATTTCCACGGGAAAAACGATGGTGCTCGCAATGGCTATGCCGACTGAATGCTCGGTTGATTACGAGCGAGCGAGCGCAGCGAGCGAAGTGAGTCTTTTCAATATAACGGAAAAATCTCAGTATGAGCGGCCCGGCCCGGCCCGGCCCGGCCTGTAACGCTTTTGAGAGGCTTATATCTCAGCAACCGCTGGACCGATTGGCCTGCGGTCTTTTTTGTTGGGTAGCCCCATCCCTTCTACCCCGTAATTGACTACTTGTGATACATCTAAGTCACCGTCGTGGCACGTGCCACGTGAAAAGTCAAGGGTGTTCAAGCAGTTTTGCAAAAGTAGTGATTTTGAGAGGCCCATATCTCAGTAGCGGCTTGAGCAATTGTCTTGCGGTAATTTTTATAGGGTAGCTGCATCCCTTCTTCCAAAGGTCGGATATTCTCGATGCATGTGGATCACCCCCAGTGCACGTGCAAAATACAACAATAAGAGGTGTCAAATTTGTTCCCATTTCAGTAACTCGGTAATTACTGCGGCGATTTCGCTGAAACTTGGCATACAGCCGCAGAGGTGCAAAAAGCAGCCAACTCGCCAACCGGTGTTTGCGACAGATTTGGACTCAACTGAACAGCTTGTGCGACACATTTTGCTTGTGATCATTGTGTTATAGTAACAGTCTTCATATTTCAATCACAAATACGGATAATGCAGAAACTCCGTAATCAAATCATGCACATCGCATGCGTTCAAATAATTAGTAGTCGAGACCTAATACCCAATTGACGCACAGTTGTCAAACCCGCGCCATGACTGGATAAATTTAGCCTTAACGCAAAAAGTGAGCAACTCTGTCGCACGGAGCGTTGTAAAGCGTATTCCTAGTTGGAGTTGGTTGTGCGACAGTTGTCTGCGACAGGTGTCGCACGGTTTTTGAGGTCGGTTGCCGTTGATATTGATAGTTGCCGCCCGCGGTTGCTGTTAGTTTGCCATGAACCCATTGCGTGGTGGTGTTGGACCGATTAAAAGGCAGAAAGGTGCTGCCTCCGACGCCAAGAAGCCCCCATCACGTCGACGCGTGGTGTGTGGGATTGACGGGTGTGCGTACAATGGCGAGTACAGGCTGCATGCAAGGCACAGGCAGCTGGTGCATTCTGGAAAAAGAGCGGAATATGCCAACAGCTCCTTTGGTGTGGGAGGACGATTCAGGAGCTGGGTCCAGAAACCATCTGAGGATCAATATGTCCATCTTCGGCAGGAAAGCCCAGGTTAGTAACTGGTTAAAATAACATAAGAGATGCCAGATTTTGTGTTTTTTTTTCAAACTTTAATTTTCATGCCCATTTTTGGGTCGTTTCGTTTCAGTTTTCTAGGCAATATCTAAAATGCAAAATATTTGTAAAAACCTGATTTATTAATTTCCGCACCATATGTAAATGTGATGAATGATGATCACCTACCTGTCCTATCATGTCATTTTTTAAAATTATTGTTAGTCAATTTGTTAACATGGCTGAAAGGATTTTTTTTCAAATATCAAGAGCTCTCCTTGATTTATTAAATCTGGTCAGTACCTAAAAGTATCTTTGTCGGAATACAATTTTGACAATATCATTCCATGCTCCTGCATGCATTAGTAGATGTATTAATAATTTCCATAGTATGTTGTCAGAACAAGCAGCAATTTATCCTGTTTAAGGGTATCGCCAGAGGGTTTCCTTCAAAATGTCAGGTGTTTTTTTTTTAGCTGCTTGTCTAAATATGGTTGAGGTCCCAATCTGAAGTTATTATTCCAAAATAGCCTGTTTTGAATGAGTGACCCTCCAATGTTGATTTCTAGAGACACACACAATGCCGGGCTTAGCTGCCAGACAAGCAATCCTGCCAAGGCCCTAAAGACTGCTTCAACATTACATGGCAGATTAAAAAAACAAAAAATATCAAGATTTCTTGAATGTCTCTAGTTACCTCCCCAAAAGTTGGGGGAGCATGATGAGACTGACAGCACCCACCTGGAGGCAATTGTGGGCTGTAATATCTTAAATTTCCTTAGGGAAACTCTTACTGAGCTGAGCTGACCTGATGGCTAATGTTTCATCATGCCTGTAAGTGGATGTAAGGCATTTGGTTTAGGTTGTTTGAAAACAGGTCATTATTTAGGCATAACATGCCTAAGGGTGGTAAATTACTCCTGAATTACATTTTTCTTATCAACAAATACCTTCTAAAATAATTAAATAAATACAAATTATCCTGCCTTTCCATTCCTTTAGGATGTGATGACAATATTTGTTAGGTACTGATTAATGAAAAAGTTTAATAGTTTGCTTTTTTCCTTTCAATACCACATCCAACTTGCCACTTAAGTGAAATGTGGTGTTCCTTTTTGTAAATTCTGCTAACAGGCATCTAACTTTGTTGATCAACTCTTGAATTTGTGATGCAATGCATAGCTCATCTCTCTCTCTCTCTCTCTCTCTCTCTCTCTCTCTCTCTCTCTCTCTCTCTCTCTCTCTCTCTCTCTCTCTCTCTCTCTCTCTCTCTCTCTCTCTCTCTCTCTCTCTCTCTCTCTCTCTCTCTCTCTTTCTCTCTCTGTCTCTGTCTCTGTCTCTGTCTCTGCTCTGTCTCTGTCTCTGTCCCTGTCCCTGTCCCTGTCCCTGTCCCTGTGCCTGTCTCACTCTTTCCCACCCATTTGTAAAATTGCATGTCAAGAAGTGCTCAAACTTCAGTCTTATTGCCTAAGTATTTGTCAAAAGTAACTCCAACCTTTGGATGTTCTAGGTGCTGCCTTGAGAAGTGAGGAGAGTTCACCCCCAGAGGAGACTCCTCAGTCCTGCTCACCAGGCCAAGCAGCTTCCAGCCCAACTCAGTGTGCAACTGAACCCCAAGTGAGTTCAGACAACGTCTGTCATCGCTCGGAGGATGTGATTGGGGAAACAACGGACAACACCGAGTCGGCAACTTGTGGTGGCTGCTGCTCAGTCTGTGGTGTGTCCTGTAAGGCCCAAACTTTCATGTCGGACGCTCAAAAAGTGCTTCATGTTTTGGAAGAAAAGTGCCGTGAATTGGCAAGTGACGCCTTCGTGAGTGAGGCTCGAAAACTAGTCGCAAAACTGGACCAGAAATGCACGGAACTTCCAGACAAGCTCCCGGCAGTTGCCACTGAGGATGTAACCGCAGGTTGTTTGAAGTAGACAAACACTATTCGTTAGAATTGTGTTTTTCTATTGAAAAACAACCGGAGCGGTCCTTCTCCGGGCTATGTTTTGCATGTCTGGCCGCGAATTGGGGCAACTTGGGTCAGGCCTAAACTTGTGGCTCGATTTTCTTAAAAATTTCAGTGTATGGGCTCCCGCAGGCGATCTACCTGTTGGCACCGGTCGCTACTCGCTTAAAACCTCGTGGCACGTGGCACGTGCGATTCCATTTTCCCCATGTTAAGTCAACGGGGTTTTGGACACTTTTTGCGCGATCGGGAATAGCGGAAAAACGAGCCAAGGAAGAGGTGGTTTTCTTCCCAGCATTTTATGGCAAACACGTTTGGGTACACGCTGGTGTGCGCCGTATACCCCTCAGAACTTCGTAACGTGTCTTTGCACGAGGTCAAAGTTGAATTTTTTTCGCTCCCCATGTTAAGTCAATGGGCGTTTTTGCAGAGACTTTTTCATTCGCTCATTGTACAAAATTATATGATACGATTTTGTTTAAACTTTCAGGACTTGTTGAGAAAAGACCATAGAACATGGTGTTATGCTTCTTTAAGCTGTGCAAATTCGTTTGTTCTTTTTAGGCTCGTTTAAAAATGAAAAATTTTAACATGGAAAGTCAATGGGAGCGTCTTTGCTGCTTAATAACTTTTTACAGTTGAGATATATTTATGTGAAAAGTTGATAGGTTATACAACTTTTGATGCTCTTTCCAATGATATATACAACTTTATTGCACGTGGTGCCGTTTTTGAGAAATATAGTAAAAAAGCACGACATTACCGAGATTTGAGCTCAGACCTATATCGTTACGGTGTCAGGCGGACACGAGGACAGGTGGCGCCGCCGCCGCCCGCATAGCGGCGGGAATGTGAACTAACCTGTTTACCATCTATGGTATGGTACAGGGACCCGCAGTTGCTTCTGTACACACTAGTATTTCAGCGTATTCTTTGTCTGTGACACCGTTGGAGGCGAATTGGGAAATGATTGTGTGCTTATTAAAACCACCATCTGAAGGGCTTTAAACTGATGTGCTGCTCTCCTAATTCAGTGAACTTTCTATGGCTGTATCAGCAAAACATTGTATTCAGCGCTTTTTCCTGCCCCATTCCTTCTGAAACCTGAAACCGCCTATTCCATTTACTCCTGCCATCTGACGATGGTCGTGCTGACTACTAGTTCCGGCGCTAGTTACTGCTCCAGTTTTGCACCCGGCACAAACTCAGGCGGCACCGGGCCGTGGCTCGACCATGGGGAGGGTCGGACCGAGCCGACTGCCTGGGGCGCGGTTAGATCGGACGCCATGGGGAAGGGGACGGGAGTGAGGGGAGAGGAGGAGGTGGTCACGTGGTCCGTCCAAGCTCGCAGACGACCTGTCCTGCGCCCAGCCATGTTCCGTGATCCAAACTGGCACGAGAGCTGTGAAATGCCTGGAGGAGACGCTTCGAAAGCGAACTTCAGCAGCACTAATTTACCATATTCTGTGGAGATAAATGAATATTATCTTAATGCAGTAAAAAAATTGTATGCCCAAGCTGTATAAGCTGTATCTTTTTAAAAGTTGTAAATAGGATTATTTTTAGGGACTTATAGGTTTCGTATACACAGTGAATCGTGTTACAAAAAGCCGTTTCGCTGTTATGGTTACTAACGGAAGAGTTATCCTTTTTTTTCTCACAGGGAATGACAATACAATAACAATACGAATAAAACCAGACGTTTCGCACAAAAAAGTGCCTCCGTCAGTGGTAAGAAATAAGTAATTAGGCATACATGTTTTCTTTCGATAAAATCGATGAAGTAGTTATCTTTATTTTTTAAGATATATTTTCAGCAGTTCTTTTAAGCACATCATGGAAGCTTATAAACATTTGTGTATTTTATCGGCAACCCGGCTGGCCAGACCGAGACGGTGCCGCATTTAGTTCTCATCGATGTTAAACCTATACACTTATTTTTTCCTCTGACGAAGGCACGTTGTTGTCCGAAACGTTTGGTTTTATTCGCATTGTTTTTATATTGTCATTGTCCGTAAGAAAAACATACTCATATGGACTGGTCTCAGTTCATGTAGAAATTTTTGCACATTCACCAACACAGATAAATGAATATTAGCCCTCACCACACATATAAGTAGAGGTAAGTAGACCGCGCCCCCTGTTTAGTTTTTCACCAATAAATCGCGGCAAAGCGAAGGATTGCGACGATTCTTTGGTGCCCTGGAGTTAATCAATTTTACAACTTCCCGGAAAATTAAATAGCCCTTATCATTTTTGCATCTTGTCTGAGGATTTTAAATCCCTGAACCAAATTACCTTTAACCTGTGATTATTTCTCTCAAGATCATGTCAGGCCAGAATAGCAATTGAAAGTCAGCGCACATCTTCTGTGTGTTTCCATAGTCGTTTCGTGATTAGCAACGTGACAACATGTGAAATATACTATCTAATGTTTGTCTCATTGATTGTTGTGGGTGCCAAGGTCACGTGAAACTCAGGTTAAGGTCATTTACTTGAAATGATCTCGGTTAACTTCCCTAAATTTACACCCTTTTACTGTGGTTTTTAGGAAGTGTTGGTTTGAAATTTAGCACCCATTTTAGCATTTGAAAACTAGGCATACTTAGGTATCAGTTATAGTCCCTATGCAATATGTTGCAAGGCTGTAAGTGCTGGTTAACATTCTATGGATAGCCGGCAGAACGCCTAATGGGTGATCTGGCGTGACCCGTCCTACCCCAAATGCTTTGATACATGTCTTTGATCAAAGCAAGTGCAAATTCGGAGTCAGAAGCAAGCCAAGTCCCAGCAAACTTCACTTGTAGAATTTCTAGCAGGACCCAATTTTCCGTGCTTTTGGGTTATTAACCTGATCTGGGAGGTCAACCAGTGACCTAGGATCTCAGCATTGACCAGGACATAAAAATAATTGGCTTTTTCCTCGTCAGCGATGACCAGGACCCTCAAATCATCGGATTTCTCTCGTCACGAGAAGCTCGCTCTCTTTTTATTTTTCAGCGAAGCTCTGGCTCCTTTTATCAAGGGCCGAATAGCTGAGGGTTTCTACGCCCCTCCGCTACATGTAAGACGCTGAAAAGAAATGCCTAAATGGGTGAGAGAGAGAGAGAGAGAGAGAGAGAGAGAGAGAGAGAGAGAGAGAGAGAGAGAGAGAGAGAGAGAGAGAGAGAGAGAGAGGAGAGAGAGAGAGAGAGATAACTGTATTTGACAGACTCGAGGTCCAGTACCAGTCACATCACATCAAAATTGTACCACTGTACAGGGCAGAGCACCACGCTCTCCGAATCGATGAATAACATGCCAGATCACTTTCATATAGGGAGGATACGATTCGGTTGTCCGTCTGGCTCAGGCGAGTCATGAATCCATAGACGGCCTTTCGATACATCGCCATAAAGTTATCGATTGGCGATGTATCGATTGTGAGGGTTAAATATCAATTGATTTTTAAGTGCCGAAGCCCGAAGCACTTTAATTTACTTCGATAGCAGTTTTTAAGACCAACGAGCTCGAATACTATAACTTCTTGAACAATGTAAGCACCACATGAAATGAATCGTGAGAGAAGCGGCTCAAGATTAAGGAGCTATGAGACACTTAATAAAAACGGCATAGATTAGAAACTGCACCTAACTTGCACTGGTTTTTAAACCTTTTCGTTGCAGACTGGTAGATTAAATTTTAGGATTGATTTCAGCTGATGCTCAAATGGAGCTATTCATTCGTTCATTCATGCGACCATTCAATTCCATTCATAAAAGAAGCCAGTGACAAAATTGTTCATTTTAGATGTGTGAAATACAAACTCAATAAAAGTTTAATGATACGGCAAATTTGACAGCTTTTATAATGAGCAGAAAAATAGCTTTAACAAATCAAGGTTGAGAGCCCCAAATTGGGGAGAGTGAGGTAAGATGAGCCAAGGGTCAAGTTAAGCCTCAAATGTTTCTCAGCTCCTATGGCGCTAATTGACTTGAGCTTCCATGTGCCGTTCGCTTACGATGCTGCAGTCTTTCACGTGAGACGGCAACGTTCTCACGCTCAGCACCCGCGGTAACATGTGGTATCGCCCCTGATAACTAAGACATGTTTTGCCTTTAAAATGAGATGGTTTGTTATCTGCGGTGCATGGTTATTTTCCTTAGCGGGTGTCATTAATCGAAAATGGCCACGGGTGGGGCAAGATGAGCCATTTTCACCTGGGGGAGGATGAGCCGGATAAGCCATTGTTGTCTCCGCTGTCGAAAACCAAACTGAGCTGCGCTTGTTTCTGCTGAATAAAAATGGTAGGAGATTGTTTTTCTTTGTTGATTACACAAGTTGTAAGTAATTTGCAGATTATCTGAAGGATAAAATGATTTCTTCCGTGATAGCAAACTTGACGAGTTATTGGAAGGCTTAAAACAGTCACTTTTTGATGGAGGAAAAAAACTTTGCCATAAGTATGTATGCCATGGATGATGGAGTAAATAAAAGAGCCCACTCTTCGCCGCGCCCGGGAAAAGAAGAGGTTCGCTTTTTCTATCCATGCTCAACTTTCCCCACGACTTGTCTCAACTTACCCCGCCCATGGGGTAGGATGAGCAACGTGCAAGATGATTTTTGACGTAGCCTTTCAGTACAAAAATAAGCGGTATGAAACATTTCTGGCCACCATTACATGCGCAAATGACCACTCTGTCCGTCGAACCCGTAAACGCAGAAAATGATCAGCCTGTAGCTTATATACGAAAAACAAAAAGCAGCTCAACTTACCTCATTCTCCCCTACGTAACACAATTGAGGGCATTTTTTAGGCCATCACAGTATTTGCCAACAATTGTTGTTTGGGGGACTGGGGAGGGTGGTTACTGGCTCATAAACTGCCCCCCCCCCAAAGAAAAGAAAACGGAACCGATCATCCGCGAAAAGAACTATTGAGCTCGAACCAAGGTGACGAATCGA